AAACTTCACTTTTAAAACTTGCTAAATGTATGAAGGTTCAAGTTGTAAAAGCAAACAGGTAGATTATTTGCTAATTAAACTAGCTAATATGCATGGATGCTAGCTAATTAAACAAGCAATAGAGAGACAAAGGGGAAGCTCTATAGACAGGTAGAACACATGGACCGACTCTATAAATAAAAATGCTCATAAGCAATTTAAAAATATCTTGCAAGTACACGTACATACCATTATAAAATGTTTAGCCTCTGACATATCCAAAATTGAATGAACCTTGTTTGAAGTCAATGTCTGAATGCCAAACCTGATCACTAGCATCATACATGTATAAGTTAAAAAAAACATATACATATATATATATAAAACAATTTTCCTTAAGAGGATCTGCTGAATGCCAAGCCCCCTGGTGAAATGTAGCCCTTTGTTCCTGTCCAATCAGATACAGCTGTACAAGCCAAACTCCGTGGGGATAGCTGGGGTCATCCTCCCAACGGATGCTTTGGCTCATCCTGCTACTGGTGCCCTGAGGGCCTGGGCACAGAGCGTGACCCTCCAGAAGCCACCCAGACACTGACTATAATAAATATGTATGGATTTCTACTCATCTATTTTAACTTTTACTAGACTTCTGTATTGGGGATAAATATTGCAACAACATGTGCATGCTTAAAAATAAAGTCAAAATAAATCATAAAGCAGACGTAGCAGGTTTTTTTTATAAAAAAGAAAGTACTAAATACATGCTCACAAAGCTATTATTTGACTTAAAAGCTGCACGCAGCTAAAACTAGCAGTGCTGTTTAATTCACCAGAAGAGCTCAGGTTTAAAAGTTGGCTCTGTATTTTGACACGTTTAAATGAGAACATAACAACTCTGCTGGGGAAGAACAGAGCAGCTTGACAAATCACAGAACAGAGTTCTGCACCAAAAAAAAGTCTTCCAAGAATTTTTGCCTGCGTAAAAAGAGAAAAAAAGCAAATGACCTTGGGGGCTGAAAATGGTTGGATACGAAAATAAACTGTTTGGAATTACTCTGCACATTGAAGAATAGAAAGCAGCTGCAGAAATCCAAAGGTACTCAGTACTTCTCTGTGACTGTTGAGAGCTTTCACCAAGCATATCACAGGCACTGTGTAGTTTTCCACATGTCTCTGCTTTTCAGGAGATCAGTGTGCTGCCGAAGTGTCAAGTTCAACTCACATTAACTTCTTCTCTCTGAGCTGCAGATGGGGCGACAGACAAGAGAGATGATCCTGACGTGAGGTTGTTTAAGGTACCTGACTATCTCTCAGAATGGTCGGAGGGATTTATGATATCAATAATGAAAGCTGTAGTGGTCAGGAGAAGCTTAAGTGCTCCAGTAAACGACACACTGGAGACGTCTGCACCAAGTTTCAGAAAATCTAATTTACGGCCACTTCGTAGCAGCTGGATTTGCACTTCCGACCGGGGGATATCATTTCCAAACATCAGGGAGAAGGCTGATGGATATGCAGCGGTCGCACTCTCTGGCTCTTTTGTTTTCTTTACGACACCAAATAATACCTAATATTTTCATGCGTGTGTCACATAACGTTCCCTACCAAAGCGTGGTACTATTTTTATAAATGTTTTGATGCCATGGCTGCATTTTTAAAAACACTGAAGAATCTCACCAAGCCAGACAGCTAAGAGCTGATGGATAAATATCTGAGCTGATGTGCCTCAACCGCCAGCACAGTGGGTTTGTGTTCCAAAGAATACACCAATTAGAGCAAATATCAACTAAACTTTGTCTTTCCTCTTCTTTCTTTGGGGAGCTTAGCTGTGAGGTCATGGATTATGGGATACTGCTGTATTTGTCTATTTATACCACAGGTACACGCAGTGTTTCTCCAGTAAAGAGTGGATTTGTCCCAAGGCAAAGAAAAATCACATTTGACATCAGTTTTTCCAAACTGTAGCCTGGTAACGATTTGAAGTTCTGCAAGAAAAGAATAAAGTCTATAACCCATAGACTTGTGGTACAGTGGGCTTTAAATATAGATGAAAAAATAAAAAACCTCCTGTTTAGACTGACTCTGGGTTTTGTTCACTCAGCTCCAGCCTCAACACTTTCAATCTCTAATCTTCTTATCCACTGAGTCATTACCAGAACTGTTTGGTAACCAGATAGCCTGGTTAACGACAAGACAGCCGACACCGCTAGCCTCACATTTTAAATGTTTGCGCAACAACTTAACTCACAATCCAAAGCCCACAGAGCTGCAGTGGTTATTGGTTCAAATTATTTTTCATCAGATAAATCATCATTCTAATGGACTTTAATGTTCTCAATGTGCTCTTTGTCTGATGGTTTGTTGTTTTTGTGTTAAAAAAAAAGGTGGGTGACCGCAGAGTTCATTTTGAGAAGAGACCAGACCCTGGAAGTGACCACTGTCCTTTTAGTTTTGGAGACCTGACAGTGAACCCTGGAAGGCCAGCCAACCCCCCAGACAGGTTCCCCTCCAGCCCTCAGTCTCCATTATCCAGCCATAGCCTGGGGAACAATCACCCCGACTGCCCTCTGCACCTCTCCTTCCCTTCGCTTTCACTATCTGTCTCCCTAACTCTCTCTTGCGTCCTTCTCCCCTTCCTTTAATTCTGTCTCCCTCCCTCTCTCTCCCTCTCTCTCTCTCCAGGCTCTCTTGACTCTGTCTTTCAAGCGCTCCCTGTGTCACCAGACTGATTAAAACAAACACTGACCCTATTTTGGTATCTAATCCAATTGTGCTCTTTTTCTTCTCACCGGCCCTGGAGCACGCAGCGTATTAGGTGTCCTGGGAGCCACAGAGCCCCCCCTCTGTGGCTGATCTTAGATTTCAAACACTGGGGAAACTCACATATGGTTGGCAAAGAGTAAATAAAGTCTTATTAAAATCCCTCCTGTAAACAGCATTTAATGTACACTTTCAGTGTTTGTGGGAAGATGCAAACACAGAACGGTCGTCTGTGTTTGTCCACTACATCTCACACGCTGTCGTATCACTCAGAGCGTCAGATTTGGAAAAGCACAGGTTTTTACAGAGCTAGCTGTGCAGAGATCTGTGTGGGGGCTCATTGGGAGTAGACTGCTGTTTGTTGTTTTATTAACAGGGGCATGTTGGCCTCACCAGGTCAGAGCTTTACCTCTGACCCCTGGAGAAGAGACTAGAGAGAGCAGCGGCCTTTGTATATAAACAGCAGCTTATTGAAGTCTGTGTGTGTCCGTGTGTTTGGACAAAGTGTTACTATTCATTTTTATTATTTTGAGGCTTTGACCAAGGTGGGCAGCAGAAAGTCAGAACACATCAGACACCCACACACTCCACTGCTGAGGTGCCACCTGTAGTCTCTGATGATTTCACGTGTTTGGAAGTACAACATTTTCATCTACTGACTGTGTAATCTAAGCCAGGATTTCTCTCCACAGTCCGCTACAAAGTGTTAATTAATTTAAGACTCGGCCGAACCTGGCATGGAAGCAGACACATGTATTAGATTATGTGTTAAGAGATGTTGAGGTGAAATGGCTGTTTTTGGAAACTGGTTTGTTATTTGTTTTGGGGTTTGTTTGGTTTTTTTTTACCGTAGTTTGATATACGTTTCAACGCACATGCACGTTAAACTGACATTAAAGTATTCGTACAGTTTTGAATGTTTGATATTTTTATCTTTTTGTATCACATTACAGGAGCGCTTTGGCATTACTGATACCATCTAGTGGTGATCAACGGGTACATCAAGTAATCGTAGATTAAATATTTCTTTGTTTTTGCTGTAAAGAGCTTTAGCCGAAGCTAAGTGGAAGTGCTACATCCGTGGTGATTTTTTCCCCTCACCAGTGTCTCAAAGGACAAACCTGTTAATTAAACTTGTCTTTTTGTCAAGTGTTATAAAATGTTTTAGGGCAAACATTTCAAACAATTCTTAACTAAATCCCGTTGAAAAATTTGTTTATTTTAAAACAACATGTTTTTTCTCAGTCACAATGATTTTTCCTTCCATTCCCGGTTGTTACGTTTCGACATCATGTCAAACTCACAAGTTGTACGGCATGAACACGAACGCCAAACTCCAAAACGTGGAACAACGCACACGAAATGACACAAACGACCAAGTCACTCTTCGTGAATAGACGTGAACAATGACCTGACAAAGACAGAGTAAGGCATATATACCCAGGGCACCAGGTGACACGAGTGGAACTAATCAGAGACACAGGTGAGTGTGACGACACTAACTCCACCCAGCGAACAAGACAGGAAGAGGAAACAGACAGCCCTAACACTCGCTATTGTTATGGTTTTATTGGGCAACGTCTACTCTAAGGCCTCAAGAAAGTAACAGAATATTAATACGAACTGTGTAAAAGTGTGGCCTTTAGAGTATTTGTTAACTTTCATGTGTTCGGAAACAGTCTTATAACGTTATTAGATGAAACACTCAGATTTATTATTTCTGAGTGTTTCATCTGATGAAACACTCAGAAGTAATAAATTCAGTCCTAGAACTCCTAAAGACTAAAATTTGTTTATTACATTTGTAACAGAATTGTTTAAAGGTTAAACATAAAACAGAGACAGATAAAGACACACAGCATGTACTGGATACTTGTGTAAATATGTGTGTACATTAGACGCTGTGCTGAACATTATATCAAACTCATTCACTTTTTTTCGGGGCTCTTTTTATGTTGCTACTATAAGAGCTTGGAGTTTAACAACTTGCAGCCAGACAAATGATCTGTCATGCAGGCACCTTCACTGTGTGGAGACCTGCTTTGATTATGGTCTGACTGCTTTTGTGGCGCTTGTGAATTATGGCCAATTACTTCTACCCTCTTATAATAATCATTTGTTTTCCCTACTGTCAGGAGTGAGACCTTGGAGTCGCTGTTACCTTAAACTTCAGTGGGCAACTACAGGCTGAAATATATGGCAATGAGCATTCCCACTAATGGCCTTGCAGCTTTGGAGCAAAGGCCGTTTTTATAGAGGCCAGAACTGTACATCAAACCTGGAGACCAGCCAGATTTAATGACCAGGTCATTTAACCCTTTGCTCTGTTGTTTATGGTTTTAATGGTGGGCTGTTGCCAGCTTTTGTGGCTGCTGTGGCTGACTTTAACTCAGGCAGCATGCTGGCGACCCCCTAACTCCACAGCAGCAATGATACTCTTGCTCAATCATTTGAACTGTCTTCTCAAAATGGCAGCACGTAAGGCATGTAGTTAAAATACGACGGCTATTTTCTGGTATTATCTTTGCTTGTAGGCTGCAGGGGATAAAAAAAGACATCAGGCTTGTAGTCGATAAAGAAACGACGTGTGGAAAAAAAACAACAAGTAATTATTGAGAGAAAGATAGTAGTTGGGGGTTGGCAGGAGGCGAGAACCAGACAGCAAGCTGTGATAATCGATGGTGGCCACAGAGCAGTGGCAGGGTTGAGGTCGTTTGTCTGCAGGAGAGAGAGAGGAGATACTCAGACAGAGCTGTCAGCTGACGGTGCTGGCAATGGAACGAGCCCAGAATTTATCACCTTGACTGCTGGCCCTGTTATTGATGAAGACATTAATCTGAACATAGTGAGAGGAGCCAACCGGAGAGCGAGGCAGGTAGCTATATTTGGCTGACACTCACAGTTCACAGTCCACGTTTCATTTTACTGTTCAGTTGATGTGGCTGTTGGC